CAGCAGAAACCCGCTGAGCAGAGTGCTGACAAGCATGACCTGAACACTCATCCTAAGTCCCAGTCGTGCCTCTCCACCGCTCCCTGCTTTCCTCCTCTGCCCCTCTCTCGCTGCGACCCAACTCCTTTCTTTTGCCATCACTATCATCATCATCTCCTCCTCCCCTCCTGGTTCTTGTCCCCCCCCTGTCATTATCCTGACTTACTCTTTGCAGCATTCTTCTCCCCACTCTCTATGTTTTTTTCTCCTCCCTTCCTTTTCCCTTCCGCTTTCCATTTCTTTTTCCCTTCAATTCTTCAACCCCAAATCCACTTCTTCTTATTCCATCTGGTTTCCTCTCACACCGCCTCTCTGGTTGTTCAGTGTCTCCTCATTCCTTCTCCTCCTCTTCTCTTCCACTCCTCCCACTTTTCTCTCTGGCTATTGCCTCTTACTTCCCTTCCCTCCCCTCCCATATCCCTTTCCCCCTCCCCTCCCCCTCCCTCTTTCCGTCCCTGCTCCTCTTACCTTGGACATTGGAGTCACCAAGGGTTCGTAGCCGCCTGTCAGAGGATCTTGTCTAGACAGGTTCTGCACAGTAGAGTCAGAAGCGAGGTACCAGCCGCAACTAGACCTTGAGGGTGCAGGTCAGGTCGATTGCGCTTACTGCGCTGATGATGACTGCAAGAGAGCTGAAGGACGTCTCTCCGATGAAGATCCCGACCAGCATCTGGTTCCTCAGTGCCTGGACGGCAGTGAGCGAGTAGCTATCCCCCTCCATGTGTTTCCGAATCCATTGATAGTTCATCTCCTTCGAGAACGAGAAGATGGTAACTCTTGTTGCGTCCTTGCTCTGTTGCAGCACATGGAACACGGCATGGTACCCTGCAAGCACCAGCACAGCTGCTGCCAGCATGGCTACTTCCCCTGTCCCTCCCTCCACCAGCTTTTCGCACTCAGCCATTCTTTCTCTAAAGGAAACCCCCCACCCCACCCTTTCAACCCGTACCCCCCGTTCTCTACTGGATCTCCCCCTATTTTCACCCGCATGAAACTGGGTACGCACCCCCCATACGGTTCTCTACCCTACCCCTCAATAGATTGAAAAATTTATAAATGATCACCCACCACTTTCTAGAAACCAAAAAAATCATGTGACCCCCGCACCTCTACCCCTACCCCTATTTATAGGATTAGTTCCACTACACCCCTGTCGAGCAATCTACGCCTCGTTCACTACCCCACCCCCTTTCCTCTTCTACCACCCGTTCTTTCCCCTCTTTACTGACATTCCCCCTTCCCCTCATTTTAATTTTATTATGTATAATGTTGTTATATTATATAATGGTTGTACTGAAGGGTACTGAGGGTCACCGTGGCACGGTCCCGGATCCGATCATCGGCGGCCCGATCGGTCAACGGTCCGTCACGTTGCTCCCGGCCGGGCCCCACCGGGAGCCTCTACAGACTGAGACTGGGTGCTAGGAGCCCGGCCGGGACTCAGGCTCCGGGAGCCGCCGCCGCCGCGCCATTCCGAACCGCCGGCCGGGGCGGCGCGGCCCCTGAGTCCGACCGGCGGCGTGACCGTGACGGTGTCCGATCACCACGACTTGGTCACTGAAGACTCTCAGTCTGCGCCGGCGGGGCAGTGACCGTCGGATCGGGGCCCGGGACCGTGTCTGATCGGACGGTCACAGAGTCAGAACGCCGGGCGGAACTTCGGAACCTGATCTGCCATGATCACAATGATCATCTGATCGCCGGCCGGGACTCTCCAGCCGGGGCACAGGCTCCGACAGGAGGGCCCCGGCTGAGGCCCGGGCCCGCCCCGGCGGCCCGCACTCAGTGCCGGGCGGCCCGGCCCGTCACTGTCACGGCCCGGCCATTCGAGTCAATGATTCGCCCGGTTACTGGCTAGTGACCGCGCGGCCCGGTACTATCAGTAATCATTAGTGACTTGGGCCGGGTACTACCGTGATTACGGCCCGGCCCGTTCACCAAGTTGACGCACGGTCGGAGGGTGTCCGATCCGGCGACAGTGTCAAGCGGCCGCCCGGCCCGGCGGCACTGATCAATTACTGATGTAATAGGAGTTGACCGAAGCCTGATGAGTCAGCAGGTGGAACGTGGCAGCAGTGGAGGGAACTTGAAGGAGTGGCAGTGACCGTACTACCCCCGGTGACCTGAATGAGATACACGGTATACTCGTCACCGATCAACTTCATGTCCGTGCTCGGACCCCCCGCTCGTGGGCCTCTGAGGGGTGGTGGAAGTCAATTTTAAGGCGGATAGACGGGTGGGTGGTGGGATCGAGGGGGGTCCTGGGGGTGGTAAGAAAGTTGACAAACAGGAATAAGTTTGAAAAATGAAGCGATGTATTTTCAGTTTTATTTCTAGGACCTGAGGTCCTATCCGGAAATCGTAGCTCAGACCACCCCCTTTTAGGAGCTCCCTCAAAGGGGTACTTATTGGGATCGGAACGGGGTCGGGGTAGTCAGTTTCCGGTTCCAAATAGGCTGGTCAGGGTGGGGTGGAAAAGAGCACCCCACCCCTAAGAAAGAGTTCACTAATTACGGGTAATCTGCCACAGATTCTCAGGGATATAGGGGGGTCGTGTAATGTGGGAGAATTTTTTTGAGGGTAGGGGTAGGTCCATATCTCGAGGAGGTGGGGGTGTGCATATAAGCATGTGATCAGCCGTGGGAAGGAGGGGGAAAGTGACGAGGAGCGCAGATCCGGAGTGAGATCAAGATGGTGGAAGAGGACGGAAGGAAGGGATGTTCGATGGAGAAGGATAGTGAATGCGAGAGCCAGGAAGAGACGAGGAGAGTCACATAGAGCTTTGACTGCGGATTCGAATGCTGACTGCAGATAGATGATGAAGATCGGGAGGGAGGGAGAGCGAGAGCAAGGAAGCTGCAAGGAGGGAGAAGGGAGAAGGAGAGGGAGAAGGAGAAGGAGAGGGAGAGGGAGAGGGAGAGGGAGAGGGAGAGGGAGAGGGATATGGCTGTGAAGATATACCAAGGCGGTGTACGCACGAAAGCGTTTCGACTGACGATTTCCACGGCAGATGATTTTTCGACCTCTCGCCGTCGCCATCCTCTACCTCTCGGCCGTTGAGGGGTTCAACCTCGGGCTACGGTCCATGGCTCCCTCCCGCATCTCCCCCAGCTCGCGCTCCTGCTCTCCCTCTCCACGCACGAGGAGCGTCCGGATCGGCTCCTTAAGGATGATGGGAGGGGATAAGGCAGGGGAGGAGAGGATACTGCCCGATCAGATCTTCGACCTCATCGTGCTGGGTGGAGGACCGACGGGTCTGACGGCAGCGCTGACGGCCGCGAGCATCGGGCGGACGGCGGCGATCATCGACGGGACGCCTGTGACGCAGACGCAGTTCTCGGGGCCGACGGGACTTTTCTCGAAGGCACTCAGAGACTCGGCGAAGAAAGTCAAAGTGAGGACGCTGAGGGAGATGGGACTGCGAGACACTTCGATCTGGAAACAAGTGCAGGATCTCACCATGGACATCCTTGACGCTAGCGGAAAGAAGAACCTTGCTGCCATCGAGGGGAACAGGGTCCCCACCGTGCGGGGGACGGCGGTGCTGTTCGAGGACGACGATCCTACGAACAGCAAGATCAAGATCGAGAGGATGGACGGGAAGACGGAGTACGCCAAGTGCAGGAAGCTGCTCTTTGCCACCGGGTCGAGGCCCATGAGACTCAACAACATCGCGTATGATGACGTGGGCATTTTCGACTCCGACTCGATCCGCAAGCTGAGTTTCCTTCCTCGAGAGGTCACGATTGTCGGGTCGGGTATCATCTCGATCGAGTTTGCCAAGATCTTCAACTACCTTGAGTGCAAGGTCAACATCATCATCCGCTCCAGCTCCTTCGAGGGTGCGCTGAGCAGGATCGGGGTCGACCATGACGTGGCAGTGGCGCTGGAGGAGGACCTCAAGAGCAGCGGAGTGAACCTCTACTTCGACGCCGAGATCGACAGCATTGAGAAGCCTCAGGGGGCGCACGTGTCGGAGGAGCCCATGAAGATCAAGATCAAGAGCAGCAGCAGCGGGCAGCACATGGCAGATGTCACAAGCAACATCGTCATGACTGCTACCGGCCGGCTCGCCAACACGCAGAAATTGGGGCTGGAGGAGGCGGGAGTGAAGATGGAGAAAGGCACCATCCTCGTCAACGGCGACCTCGAGACCTCCGTCCCCGGCGTGTACGCTGCTGGGGACGTGGTGGGGGCCCCGTCGCTGGCCAGCACGGGGATCGAGCAGGCGATCACTGCAGTGATGCGCATGTTTGACCAGGACGAGCTGACCGACGGAACCTGGATGTCGATCCCTCCTGGCACTGGCAAGGACCCCAAGAGCCTGCTGCAGTCTCCCCTGCAGTACCCGATCGGCATCTGGACGCTTCCTGAGATGTCGTTCATCGGGTACACCAAGAGGTCGGCGGAGAAGGCTGGGTACAGCAACGTTGGGGAGGGGAGGGCCTCGTACGCCAATACCATTCGGGGGAGAGTGCAAGGAATCAACTTCGGCCTCATGAAGATCGTCTTTGAGAAGCCTTCAGGTATCTTGCTACCTCCTGCTCCTTCTCCTTCCTCGTTCCTCCTGCTCCTGCTCCTCTCTTCTCCCTCCTTTCTCCACCTGCTTCTCCTGCTCCAGTTCCTCCTCCCAATTTCATTGTGCTTGTCCTTGTAATGTGCTCTTCCTTGCTCCTGCTCTCTGCTTCTCCTCGTCACTGACGTTCATGTCAGGCAAGATTCTTGGCG